GTGTCTGTTTAAAAAGAACAGTTGTCCAAGGTATCTTCCCACAAAAAGTCCTCCCAAACCAAGATGGGCACTAAACCTTGAACCGTCTGGAAGACTTTCTTGCTTGCCAGAGCTACCTGCGCCTCTCCTCGTGTGCAAAGGAGGTGAAGTAGGACGGAACACCTGAGCAGTGGTCTGTTAGATCCACTCTCTGAAAAGAACATGGAAGGGGAAACGATCTGTTTCGTTGTGGCTGATGGAAATCCGTTCGAATGCAACCATCTCAAAATTCCTCTCCCCAGCATATTTTCTTGGAACGGCCTTTGTTCAAACAAAACAAGGACCACAAGTGGTTATTAATAGAAATCCGTTTCTCAATCAAGGGGTGGCGAAGGGCGCGACCGCTTAGGTCTTAGGTGTTCCGACACCCGGAGAAGATTTTCTGAGACAACACCACCTTGCAACCCGCATCCGTTTTGTCACGTGAGAACACAAAGGCATGACTCCTCACAAGCAGAGTGGGCTTGCTGGGCTGCGCATCATTCTTGCCAGTGACCCGAAAAGATAGAGAGGATTCCTCACACCACTTTGGTACGTAAATAAGCAATCAAAAATCAGAGCAATGAACACAAATTTCAAGATCCTCACACTCAAACTGACGCAAGCTGCATGGCAATGTGATGTCGCCCAAGTATCTTGCATCGAAGCCAGAACAAACCTTCAAACTCTGCAGGCCGCTTGGCAAGGTGACACCTTCCAAGCTCTGGTTAAACTTCGTGCCGAAGGTCAAAGTCTGCAGGCTGTTTGGCAAGGTCACACCTTCCAAGCTCTGGTTGAACTGACCGCCGAAGGTCAAAGTCTGCAGGCTGTTTGGCAAGGTCACACCTTCCAAGCTCTGGTTGAACTGACCGCCGAAGGTCAATGTCTGCACGCTGTTTGGCAAGGTCACACCTTCCAAGCTCTGGTTGAATGAATAGCCAAAGGTCAAAATCTGCAGGCTGCTTGGCAAGGTGGCACCTTGCAAGCTCTGGTTGAACGAATAGCCAAAGGTAAAAGTCTGCAGGCTGCTTGGCAAGGTGACACCTTCCAAGCTCCGGTTGAACTTCCAGCCGAAGGTCAAAATTTGCAGGCTGCTTGGCAAGGTGACGCCTTGCAAGCTCTGGTTGAACGAATTGCCGAAGGTCAAAGTCTGCAGGCTGCTTGGCAAGGTGACACCTTCCAAGCTCTGGTTGAACTCCAACCCGAAGGTCAAAGTCTGCAGGCTGC